TTCTGCGCTTCCACGCATGCGCAGGACGCATACAGCGCCTGCGCGATCCTCCAGGAGCAGCTGAAGCATTGCACAGACGCTAGTACGCATACGCGTGCTGCGCACGTGCACACTGCGCACATGCGCGAGGACGCCGCCGGCCTCGTTCCAACCGAACCAGTTGGAATGGGGCGAGAAACCCACCCCTGGTCAGGCTGCAGGTAATCTGTAGGTATTGTTGTCATGTTTTTAGCTGTACAATTTGTATTTGGTCAGTGGAGCTAAACCAGAAAGAGATCTTTGCTTGCTTGGTTTGCTCTCAACGTTTTACTCTTTAAAATATATATTTGATTTAGAGATGAACAAGAAATGAACTCTTGGAAAGAAGAAGTGGATAATCTGAACACTCTGCTTAGTGACTTCCAGCAGGACATAGATGGCAGTCGGAAAAGAGAGTCTGAGCTGTTGGTATTCACTGAAAAGCTAACCACGAAGAATGCCCAACTCCAGTCAGAAACCAACTCCTTACAGATGCAACTTGATAAGCTAACCTTCATGGAGAGAGAGTCTCAGAATCAGCTGGAACTTATTAATCAAGCAAGAGATGAACTGGTAAATCGAAATGCTAGTGAAATATTTCCTCCATAACCATTACCTGCAAATCCTGTGGTTGCTGTGGATCAAGAAGCACTCCCAAAATTGCATTTGGTTCCTCCTGGGTGAATTTGATCCATTTTAAATGGTTTTCAGACGAATCATAGAGTTCAGTTTTCTCCTTATCAATAGGAACCATATGTTGCCTTCATTTCATTTCCATTTGTACACATAAAGCATAACATGACAATAAACTTTAATTCCTGTGTGGTTGTAGGGAACTATGAACTGCCAATGGGTAATAAATAGTTAACCTGAAAAATGCAACTTTTGCTTTCAGGGTTTAGGATATGCTTTATGATTTGCAAGAGCTGGGAAGCCCTTGGTTTGAATCTCTTCCCATGGGAGATTATCCCTTTAAAGCAGTGGTCTCCAACCTTGGCAACTTTAAGACCTGTGGACTTCAACTCCCAGAGTTCCTCAGCCAGCAAAGCTGGCTGAGGAACTCTNTTAAGCAGTCTGCTGCTCTGAGAAGTAAACTAGCAGTCTGTCTGGGTTTGTCTGCTGAAATGAAACCAACTGCTTGTGTTTGCCCGTAACTCTCCTGCCTTGTGTTTACTTGGAAAAACCACCTGTTGATATTGTACATTTATTCATCTATTCTTACTGTATGTATATAAAGAAGTTAATGAATCCTGCACCAGTTATCAGTGTGTGCTTCTGGATTTGAATTTATGCGACAAACTCTGACACAATTTAGCTTTGATGGATAGTTGACTAGAGTCATGTATTAGAAGTAGTAATAATAACATTTTCTGTGCTTTGATCTCACAACAAATTTTATTTGCATTTGACAGAACCTGAAAGCTTGACTCTACTGCTTGGCCTGGGTCCCAGACAGGGATTGGCTATATTGGGGATGGCTGCCTGGGTAGAAAAGATCCCTGCCTCCAGATTGTCCATCATCTTCATCATCATCTTTAGCTTTTCTATTCAATTCTTCTAATTTTAATTAAACACACCTGTTCTACCTCATTTTTAAACGATCCATTCATATGTAAGGGTACCTATTCTTAGTAACCATGACTATTCCATTCCAAGTGGGGTCCCATGTCCTAGCCCTGCCTGTGAAATCCCCTATCCTTCCATCTTAGATACACAGTCCTCCGTTTCACGGACATATATCATAACTTCTCCCAATTTGCCTTTTAAGAGGCCACTGGTTATACCTTCAAGATCATCTCAACAGCGCGGAATCATCCCTCCCTACTTGCTTTTTAAGAGGCATTTGGTCACATCCTTTGTCCTGGTACATTCACCCTCATGTTCTTATCACTTGTGCCAGCTCCACCCCTGGTTGGCCTTTTTTATCTCTACCTTTCACCTGGCACCTCGATGCTCATTACCGTTCCCCTCCCCAGGGTAGGCATCCTAGTCAGGGTGGCATTTTCTAGTACTTCTTTATATTTTATTATGTTGTAAGTCACCCAGACTTGCTGTATAAGTAAGATGTGTGGCATAGAAAATAAGGTAAAGGTAATATGTTCCCCTTGCTAGTTGTTTCTGGCTCTAGGGGCGGTGCTCATCTCCATTTCAAAACCGAAGAGCCAGCGCTGTCCGAAGATGTCTCTGTAGTCATGTGGCTGACATGACTAAATGCCAAAGGTGCACGGAACGCTGTTACCTTCCCACCAAAGGTGGTCCCTATTTTTCTACTTGCATTTTTATGTGCTTTTGAACTTCTAGGTTGGCAGAAGCTGGGACAAGTAAAGGGAACTCACTCCATTATGCGGCACTAGGGATACGAACCTCCGAACTGCCGACCTTTCTGATCGACAAGCTCAACATCTTAGCTACTGAGCCAACACGTCCCTCTAGAAAATAAAGAAACAAAAATTGATGCATCTTTTGAGAAAGCTGAAAGGGCAAGATGATAATATTCTTGGCACTGTCAGCTTCAGCTGCCATTTGAAGGGGACAACTGGGCCAGCTGCCAAGACTCGTGCTTACCAGATGGAGACTTCCCTCCTCCACAAGCAGTCCAGCTGAGAACTCCACAAAGCTCATCATGATTGACTGCCGAGAGGTTTCCACTGAGAACATTCCTTGCAGGTAACTGATTTGGTGGCATTGCAGATAGGGCCCCATCGGGAGGTCCTGCGTTTTGTAATATTTCCAAACATGACAGAGGAGATTGTACTAGGCCTGGCATGGTTGGACAAATGGGGACCCACGATATGGTGGTGGGGGGTGGGGTGGTAGTAGGCATCTCAGAATAGGCCTCGGTCCNGTGTGTGCACAGAGAGCATCCAGCTCTCTGCTCTGCCCACTATAAACTTCCACATATCTAGGACTTCTCTGCTGAAAAACTGCCCAAGGCAAACACCAGCATCCCAAGACTTCTTTTCCAAGATGCTTGTTGAGAAATCAGGTATCATTAATTTGGAAACAGAAGCTCAGCTGGATCAGTCACTTTAACGTGGTATTTATTTTCTTTTAAAAATGAGCTTTTAAATTGTGTTGGCTGCTGGGCCTGTTTCTGCATTCTCCATTTTGCATAAACTCTATAAACACCTGTCAGATGAGCATCAGGGAGAGGTTTGGAAGAGCCATTAGTCCCGAGTGTTGGACAGGCTAGCAAACTTATTTTACTAGCCGAAGTCTATTAATGCCTTATTAGGGTTTCTTATATGTCTCCACTAATAAGAATAACCTTGGGGAGCAAGAGCAATTTATCCCCACCTCTAGCTTACACAACTTGTCATTGTCAGTGTCGCTTGCTAACCCCCTTTGGATTCCTTTTTCAGCTCAGTAGAGGTGTCCTCCTCTCAAATACATTATTTCAACTTGACAGAATCTAAACAGAGCAATTACACAGCCCGATGTAGACTGAAAAGGTTGATCACTAAAACTAAATCCTGCATTGTCATTCTAATGCACTCGGCTAAAGCCTGGGCTTGAGGGAACGGGGAGGACAAGGCAGGCGGGTCAGCGAACGAACAGATCTGTCAAGCTTGCGAGTGCAAAGTTAGCCAAGAAAGTAAGAAGAGGGGAAAAAGGGGAGGATGTTGCTGGAAATGATGCACACATTGCAGGGAGGCGATAAAAAAATGTACTGCTTTTGTGTCATTGCCATGATGCGAACAGCTCATGGATCATAGATCATACTGGCTTCAATCACCCTTTCTGGGTAGCCTCCCCCCTCTCAAATCATGATACCAAAGGTAGAAGGCACAAGTGCATTTTCTATCTTATTGTGGTTAAGGCCCCAGGCTAGAAAGAGGCAGACTGTGAGTTCAAGTCCCACCTTAGCCATGAAAAGCCAACTAGATGACCTTACTTAGGCCAGTCAGTCTCTTTCTCTCTCTCTCAGCCCAAGACACCCCACAGGGTGGTTGTTGTGGGCGAAACAGAAAAAGAAAACTTTGTTCACTGCTTTGAGTTATTTGTAAAAATATAAAAGAGGGATAAAAATAAATAAAATAAATACAATTAGTAAACAAAACAAAAAGTGTGTAAACCACAAGGTGAAGTTTCCTTCAAGTCAGATATGGCCTTTGGTGATCAACTATCCATCTCT